TTTTTTTTTTTTTTTCAGGAAACTCGTTATCATTATTGATACAGATAATCGTTTCATAGTAATAAATCAACCCTGCATTATATAAATACGAAAGAAATCCCTTATACTTTTTTCCGTGAATACGAAAGAAATACAAGGGATGTAAATATAACGTTTGTAAAGTAGGAACTTTTGGAACTTCATAATATACACTAATCTTAATAGGCTATCGAAAAATTTAGTGCTCAAACTTTATTGCATAATAATAGAACTATGCAGAAAGTCGAACTAAATCATGTAGAAAGTTCATTAAAAAGTTATAACAGAAATATGAAATGTCTCAAATACATCAATATTTTTTCTCTTATAATTAGTTTAATATAAATAGAACAAAACAGGATATATAATGTTTATAGTTCGTATAAGATACATTTATCTTTGTACATTCTACTAGTTGTTAAGGTCTATTTGTGGTGAATTCTGAAAGGCAAAGTTTATGATACAAAAATATCTACGCAACATGAATTAATCATTTACAAATCACGAAATAATGAACATAATTCATCTACAATAAATTGATATCAATTTTACATTGATAAAAGGGAATCGCTTTTCAAAATGTACACATAAGTACATAGTTTTACATTTCATATTTGTTGCAATCGTTTAACAAACCATTTATAAACTTTTTACTTATATGACATTTTAGTTTTATTTTTACTTATACAACACGTCGACAAAATTTGAAATTAAACTTCTAGATATCTTGTACATGTATACATGATCTTGATGTGTGTATTAACAAAATATATCTTATTATTATTAAATGAATTAAATTCAACTTACTCTGATATTTTTCTTTAATTTCTTTAGAAATGTGAACTGACGATTGTCCGCGTTATACAGTAACATACTTCTAGCGCCACCAATCGAGAGCGTCTAAAAGAACATATATCAGTGAATTTCCTACCATATTGACCATCAATAACTTATATTTTAAGAATTATCATTGACTAAATGAAATTATTTAGAAGATAGAACCATATGAAAATGTTCAATCATATATTTTGTATTTTATTGTTTTATTATAATAAAATAGAAAGTAATAGAAATATAAATATTTACTCATTTATGTATATTATACATATTAAGTTTTTTATGATAATTATTTTATTTTTTAATAGTTACAGTAATGTGTATATTCTTGTATACATATTCTAAATAAATGAACTATTCTTGCGTTCACAGCTTATAACTTATAATTTTAACCTATGTAACATATTTCATTAAGAACAGTTTTTTTATTTTTACTTATATTTTGTTAAATTAGTTTTGTGCTCTTACCTTGTTATTATTTAAATATTTTTCTAAACATTAAGTTAAACAATTTTTGTGCCAAAATAATTTGATAACGAAACTACAACGAATTCAAAGGAATATTATTGTGCGCAATAATTTAAAATCTGCGCGGTGAAATTGCGCCAAAGTATGGCTCCAATCACGCTCTCTATGATGAACAGTCGAAGTAATAAGATGACAAGCATTCAACACTAGACTGTTACAAAAATGGCGCTTGCTGAAGTTTGCGGTCTAAATTCTTTTGTTGATTTCAATGTCTCACGTAACGAAGATAATTATGCACAAGAAATTGAGGCATATAGCAGGAATTTTATAAACAATGGACAATTGGCAGTACCACCATATATAAATGTAAGTAAATAATTTAAATCCATTGTCTACATAACCATTCATTAATTTAAATTTGCTACATCATGTAATATCATCTCTTTAAAAATTACTTTTCTGACGTGTATAGCCAGCAGAAAAATTGTCACATCTCGCAGAAGGGACTGATGAAGCAGGAAAACACTTGAAGATCAAGTTTGATCATGGAACAACTACATTGGGTTTTCAATATAAAGGTGGAATTGTTCTCGCTGTTGACTCACGAGCAACAGGGGGCCAATTTATTGGTAAATTTAAAGTGCATATGTATTAAATATGACAATTTTAAATAAGAAATATTATAACATATTTTCTCACAGGTTCATCAACTATGAAAAAGATTGTTGAAATCAATGATTATCTCCTTGGAACTTTAGCTGGCGGTGCTGCAGATTGTGTTTACTGGGATAGAGTTCTAGCAAAACAATGTCGTACATATGAACTAAGAAATAGAGAACGTATTTCTATTGCAGCTGCTAGCAAGCTTTTGTCAAATATGATATATAATTATAAAGGAATGGGATTAAGTATAGGTGTGTTTTTATCTCTTTATAAATCAACAGCATTACAATAAATTCTTTTAATGAAATTTATAAAATATTGATTGATAGGTATGATGCTTGCTGGATGGGACAAAAGAGGACCTAGTTTATATTATGTTGATTCAGAAGGTGCCCGTACACCAGGAAAAGTTTTCAGTGTAGGATCAGGCTCAATTTATGCATTTGGTGCATTAGATTCTGGCTATCGCTGGGATTTAACTGATGAAGAGGCTTATGAACTTGGCAGAAGATCAATTTACCATGCTACTCATAGAGACGCTTATTCTGGTGGTATTGTAAGAGGTACGTAATCATATAAAGGAAGATTATACAATGTGATACAATATGAATCTTTTACAGTGTATCACATGAAGCCAACTGGCTGGGTACATATTTCTGATGAAGATTGTAAAGACCTTCACTATATGTATCAAGATCAGAAACAGAAAGAACTTAATTAGTAACATTTACAATTTATTTTATATCTTATGAAACGTTTCCTTTAATAAAATTTACTTTGAAATGTAGAATTTTTGTACCCATTTTTTGCCTGCGGTTTAATTTAATAATATTTATTTGTTTAAAACATGTAATTTAATCGATATGAATATTATTTTTCAATGTTAAAAATAAATTATGAACATAATATTGAAATAAAAAAGATTATACACACACGAAAGATAAGACGAAAAGAATGTACTTTGAAGCCACCGCCCCACTGTAACCTCTTATTACTACTGCGCCGCCGACCGCCATTGAATCAGTGTGATTGGTGTCGCAGTTGCAACAAGCAAGGTTTGTTATTTCATAAAAAGCAAAATAACTCTTTTAATTGTAATTTCTTAATTAACATATAAATGTCAAGTCCAGAAGAGTGTAAACTCAAGGGTGGACATCCTCCTGCAGGTAAGTAAGCAAATCGTGATTTTCCTTAAAATGAAGACAGTTAATATGTTTACACAATTAGAATGACGTCATATGCACCTGTCTGGATATTTCAAGGCTATCTATTTAACTTTCTTTTGATTGAAATTTTATATCTTTGTTTAGTAAAAGCAGGCGGAATGAGAATTATCCAGCATAAAACACCGAAAGAAGATCGTGAAATAAAACCAATTAAAGATGTAGACGAAAGTAAACCATCTAGCAGGTATCTTTTAATCTACAGTAAGAATAATTTGTATTTTAACAATATTGATTTTAACGTTTGATCTGGTAAATTATAATAATTAAAAACACAATTGATCTCTCAAGTAATAGCTATCTATAGTTATCAATATGGAACATATATACACATATGTGGCATAGTCTCGTACATCTGTTAGACTTGCGATAACGTTATAATTTGTATTGCGCAATATACAAAGCAATGATATAAACAAAATGAGCATGTGCATATAAATGAATAAATTGTTCCTGTATTTAAATGAAAACAAATTGCACAAATAGTTTTATCTATCATAAACATGATATTATAATTGTATGTTTAATAAAATATTTATATATTTATATATATTTTAACTGTGTTTCAGTCCACCAAAAACTCTCATGATCAGTGGAGTACCTGCAAAAGGAAATGCAGACTTTCCTCCAGAAGCTGTGCAAGTCTTCCATGAAAAGCCTATTCCAACTCATAATGTACGTCCAACTCATTGTTCACGTCCAATTATTATTCAACAGCCAAGAAAATGAATGATATGCATATTACTTACCAGCTGGAGGCTATTAAAAAGAACATTAGCCTATATATACTTATCTATTAAATTTAAAAAAAAAAGGAGGAAAAGAAGAAATGAATGATAAATATCTATATGTGTGTGTACTTAAAAGTTTTCTTGGACTAATAGGACCTTATGTGCTTAAAATCGTTTAAGCAGTTCTTTATCCAAGAAGCTTTGGTTTCATACAACATGAAATAAAGTACCTCGCGAGAGTTTATTACTGTTATTAAAACAAAAAGAATTTATCTTTAACGCAGCACCATTAGATTCCTGTATCGACATTTAAACAAATGATTTATTTCATTTTTCAGAAGTATCGTTCGTTCAAACACAATTTTTAGATTAGATAGATATTACGCTCTTATCTCAAATAGACTATTTGTAACTGTTATTGGGACCAGTATGCATTTCAGATTTTGTAATAATTTAAACAACTTGTATATTTCTATTTCTAAATTTGTGCATTTCTATCTTTTATCTATCCTAAGTATTATTAATTAATTGAAATTTTGTTAATTAATTGTATCTGTTACATAGTTTTTTACTGCTAAAAAGAATTACACTACATAACTTGTAAAAGTGTAAATGTCGAACAAGATTCATGATGTTGACTACAGTTTGTACGAGATTTGAAGAAAAAAATATACGTTCTTAAACGTAAAAGTTAAAGGTTTTAATTATTTTCCTTTCCTCTTGAATTTATCCCCATATATGTATTGGACAAGTAGTCACGCGATATGGTTGCTACCATGAGTACCATTGAATATTGTCGTCATAGTAACTGGCATGAATTCTATAAACATAGCCACATTGATGTGTCAAAGGTCGAATGAAAAAACTGATCAAGTAGAACTTCCTTCCTGATGTGTAAAGATGTGAATGTGTTACAGTTCTTAAACATCGTTTCCGCTTGAAAATTTTCGTACATCTTCAATCCTTCGAATCGCCGTATCAGTTCGTGAAGTTTCATCGTGTTCATCTACAGTCGCGATGTCGTCAAAAAATACCAGTGAAAAGGTTTTAGAGATCGATGCACACGTCACCAAACATTATGACATTGTTCGACGTCTTGGCAAGGGGGTAATTTTTTTTTGTTCACTTTATTATTTTTAAAAATTACTTATTTCTCCACCAATTTCAAAATATTACAGTACGTTAGGCATTTTGTAATTTTTATTTTTGCAATGTTGTTCTTTAAACTTTTTCCAATGATATGTATATGTATATATATTTATATATACATATATACATTATATATATATATATATAAAGTTTTCTAGAAAGTATAAAAAAATCTAAAAAATGATTCTAACTTTATACGGGATGAAAAAAGCAAATTTTTATGTAGAATGAAGGATATGACGAAGAAAAATTAGTGTATATATACGCGCATATGTACAATTATCGATAACAATTATTATATACGTCCATCGTGAAAAATATAATCGAAAGGAATCGATACTCTTGCTGTTAATAATTTGCGTAAAATCAAATATTTGATTTAAGGATAAATATATTTCATAACTCGTAACGAACTGTATTCAAAATTTAAAACATTTTTAATCAATAATTTTTCGACAAATTTTTCGATAGGCTTACGGTATTGTATGGAAGGCGATAGACAAGAAAAGCAAAGAAACAGTAGCGGTGAAGAAGATCTTCGATGCCTTCAGAAATCAGACGGATGCACAGCGCACATTCCGTGAGATAATGTTTCTACTATCATTCGCCAATCACGACAACATCATACGACTGATCGGTCTTCACAAGGCGAACAACGACCGAGATATTTATCTCGTATTCGAGTACATGGGTGAGTTTTACCCGGTCCGAAGAAGAATTCGAACGAAGGTCACATGCCGCGGCGATTCTCAGACTTTTGGCCTGAAACCCGTTTCGGCCCGTTTCCCCAGAAACCGATCTCCACAACGTGATTAAGAAGGGCAAGATCCTGAAGGACCTCCACAAGGTGTTCATCATGTATCAGCTGTTTAAGGCGATCAAATACATTCATTCAGGAAACGTGATACACAGAGATTTGAAGGTGAGATGGTCTACGCGGATTGATTCCCATCGGAATGACTGCTATGTTTATGTTTGTTCCAGCCATCAAATGTTCTACTAAATGCTCATTGCCATTGCAAAATCGCTGATTTCGGATTAGCACGATCTGTCACTCAAATAGGCGAAGGAGATGGTGAAACCACCAGCGATCCGACACTCACCGATTATGTGGCAACTCGCTGGTACCGTGCACCGGAGATACTCGTTGCTTCAAAAAGGTATTCCGCTATTTTGTACAAATATACATATACATACACATATAAGTTTACATAACTTTATTGCCTATGGATAAAATTCAGGTACACGAAGGGTATTGATATGTGGTCATTGGGATGCATTCTTGGCGAAATGCTTCTTGGAAAGCCATTATTTCCTGGTTCATCGACTATAAATCAAGTGGAAAGAATAATGGCCACTCTCCCGCCACCTACTAGAGAAGGTAATCCTCTTTGATATCCTCAGAGATCCTCAGAACAGAAGAAAGAAAGTAGCCGATTTTTCTTGGTGATTTTTTTCAGATCTGATTTCGGTTAGCGCCGGATATGCTACTCATTTATTAGAGAAGACACCAAACGCACCAAGACGTTCATTGAAGGATTTATTACCAGAGGTGCCGGAGAAAGCATTGAACCTTATCAGCAATCTGATTGTCTTCAATCCAAATCGCAGACTAACAGCTGTGGAAGCTTTAGAACATCCTTATGTGGCCGAGTACATTAATTTTAACGAGAAATAAAAGAAATTATTTTATTATTATGGTCATTATTCTTTTTACAGTTTTCATAGAAGAAGCAACGAACCGGAAAGAGGTTCGAGTGTGGTACCGTTGCTCAGAGACGACGTACAACTCTCTGTCGACGAATACAGAAATAAGCTTTATTCAATGATGGACGAGAAACATCGCAAACATAAGAATATGTGGGTTAATACATTTATACGATAAACGATTATTATCATAAGTGAGATTGATGCATTGATTAATTGAAAACAGGTCTAAGTCCAGAATTAAACGATTATCGGAGCACATCAGGAAGGAAACAGTTAATAGTAATAGTAATCCAGTCATTGGTCAAGGTGATGCGATTGTTAGTAAAAATCTTACACATTCGTATCAAGATTTACGTAAAGAGAGAGGTAAAAGCGACATATATGAACCTTCTTATTTAGAAGGTAATACTGTTAACAGTTTATTTTGTGAAAGACAACAGACTAACAAAAATAAATTAACAAATCTTTTTTATCTTCTACTCAGTGCGTACACAGTTACCAAGTAGAAAGACAACACGACATTCGCAAATTGATAGTGGAGAAAGAATTACGAAAACGAGACCGATATGTCTTTCTGTCGAGCAACAGATACAAAACACAAAATATCTTCGGCCAACTGGTAAAAATATATTAATTTTGGTAGATTTAATAAAGCACCTTTTAATATCGTGGTTATACTGACAAATCTTTTAACATTTAACAGTTAAAAGTGTAGCAACTCAATATACACACAACTTTGTAAACGGTAGTTTAAATAATTTGACTCCAAGCACGACCAAAAGCTGCTTATATCTCAATCAACAGCACCGACAACTATCCAAATCTCAGCGTTCTATACAATCGGATCAACCTATGGTGGTAAGAAAATAAATTGAAAACTGCAATTTACTGTCGATTTGAGTTTTTTCATTCTTTATAGTTTGCCGCGTTTTTTGCTTAAAAGTAAACGGACGATTCTATCGTTACAGGCTACATGTCGCGTGGGATTCATTTAGGTACTGTAATCATTTATACGTGTCACAACTCATGCTTCTCGCACAAAAACGACGTACATGCTCTTTTCCTTATTCAAGACTAAATCGAATAATTTCCCTTACATGCAATTTATTTGTTTCAACATTTCCTCTGTAGGAATTTTACAGCATGATTCCATAAAATCCATTTAATTCATATAATCGAAGTTGAAATATTTCAGTGTGCACCTGGAAGAAGACCAAGTCAAGTAGTAGCTGGCAACCGAGATAAATTACGAAGGAATTGCAAACAGGCCCGTACTACAAATCGACTTACATCAAATCTAAATTGGCGGGAGGAAGATCAACAGAAGACTTCGTTCAATCACGATAATTCGAAAAGTCTTCAGACAAAATATTTCGCGAGAACGCCTGATAACGTAAATGCTTACTATCTTAGCTCTGGAAGTAACAACAAGAGTAGCAATAGCTCCAAATCTTTGTACAATTCATATCATCCTACTGTGAAAAGAGAAAATATAACTATACGAAACTATCTGAGTCAAACGGTACCATTGCGTGTGGAAGAACAAACGCTGTCGCTCTCCAATCGAATAAAAAACAATACAGATTACCGGATGATCCTTCGAAGTAACGCTAGCAATACCGAGACGCTACATCAATCTGGTAATTATCTTACAAACAACAACAATCGCTCGAGGAACACAGTTCCGAATCGATGTCACATCATAGGAACACAGTTGAAACATGTCGCCGATGAAAGTATAAATAGTGAAAAAAAGCCGGCATTGATACGTGACTCGCTTTTCTTAGATAATTATAATCAAAGTCACGGTATAATAACGGCGTCTATGTACAAAGATCTACGAAATGGGACTATAAGATGGTAAAATATTGCCGATTGCAGCTTCTAAAAAAAAGACACAAATAAACCAGAAAGATTTATTACAGATATTTTGGTATTATTCATCCCCGTAAATAGCTTTTTTACGCAATGAATATTCTTTTTCAAACAATTAATAAATAAGACTTTGATTCATTCTTGAAATTATACTAAAATTATGGATTTTCTTATATTAATAAATATAATAAATATTCGCATATTAATAAATATAATAAATGTAAAAGGAGTGTATATAAGAAATTGAAAATCGAAGTTTATACAGGAATATTCTCCTTCTCAAAAGCTGCGAACAATGTATTTAACGTTCCTACATAAATTTTTAAAACGTAAAAGCATAACGATCTATCAATTGATCTGAGTTCCTACAAAAACAAACTGCCGAAGCTTCAATATAAATCAAGTTATTATAAATGCAAGTATAAATAACAAAGAAATAATGATTTTGAGATAAACAATACTTCAAGTTGTTCGATAAGAAGAATCTTGCGATGTATGATCACTACATAGTTTTAAGATAAGAAACGGAAAAATTTGTCCAACTTGTTCAACTCGGAATATTAACTCAACATAATATTGCTTACAAAAGAGGAGAGGGAGGAAAAAAATTATAATTATCTTTTGGAAGTTTTATAATTATCGAGTTGAAATTTGGAATAATCACGAATTTATTATTACAAATATATAAGTATGTAACACATGAAGCCAATTATTGGGGCCAAAATGGTGTAACAATATCATTTTTCATGATATCAACTCGTCCCCCGCGAAAAGCAAAGATATTATTCTTTCCTCTTCGCGTTCAATGTTTATTCCTCGACAATGTAGCGTTTAAATTCCATTGTAATATACTTTTTTGTGATACTTTTATGCGGCTATGTGATAATGTCCAATTCGTATGTATTACCTGTCGTGGAATAAATTTTTATTAAAGCAATGTGACTCGTACGCTTTTCTGTCTGTACCCAGATCAAAAGCTGAAAGATTGCCTCGTGTCGTAATGAAAACATTCTTTTGAGTCAGAATATGACAACCCCGTATTTTCATTTCTCATTTTCATGTTCAATTCTAGCTCTCGTTGTCATGTTGTTTCTTTTTTTAGCAAGACGAAAGTACATATTATTTCTTTTATTCTAAATAAATATTATTTTTCCTTCTTATTCATATCTTTCTTTGTTCCCAGATTTATAAAAGCATGAGCTGAATCTGTTCACATATACGTATATGTAAATATGTTATGTTGCTTGTTGCACTAGCCTTTAGGAAAAAATATCTACATTTTCAAAGCATTGTTTTCAATTCGAGTATATTGCACATGATTTGTTACGAAGAACGAATATTCGTTCCGTATTCATTAAGATGACATGTATGTACCTATATATACAATGCACCTCTTATCATCAACATCCAATATTTCGTAAAATAAAGAATTGTATGAAATTGTAAAGAAAAGAAATTCTTTGTCTCAATCACATAAGTATGTACATCTATGTCACCGCTTATCGTCCATCGACATTCTTTAATACATGGATTAGTCCAAGTTTTATTCAATCCTTCGAAATGTTTAAATGTGATGCGAATACACATATAGAATACAAATATTGAACCGGAATAAATTGCAAAAGTTATGGAGAATTTAATATCCCAATAGGACGTATATAATCGGGATATATGTCAATTTAATCGATACAATTTTTCGAAATGAAAATAGCGCTTTTTTCGTATTATTGTATTTTCGTATTGTATATTCGTATTATTGTATATTTAACAACAGAGGCAACATTATTAATATCTCACGATAACAACATTAGTTCCAAATTTTAACGATTTTTTATTAGGAAAAATGTTAAAAAATTTTATAAATATTTTGAAAGCCTCTATTTTCAAACAGTGCAATTTTTTTGTATTTTTATAAGGATCAATTCAATTTGAATTTAATTAAACTGGATAATACCATCAATGTCAAGCCCACACGACGAACATATTTATTGAATGTAAATGTACAAACTATTTATGTTCATTTGATCCTGTTACACACAACAGGATTATTCTTATTATTCTTCTTATGAAAAATTATTTTAATCAAACTCGAACGAATATGAATGATAAATAAATAACATGATTGAAAGTATGACTTCTCGTCACTGTTTCAATATTCTTTTCTTTTCAAATTCAGCCCTGTTTGTCTCCTCCATTCAAATTCACTTCAGAAACTTACCCTTTTACCTGGTTCCTCATTAATTACTACTTTTGCTGTTTTTTCATTCATCATAATGAATTCATTATAATGCATAGTAGATAGAATGTACATTATTGCAATAAGACTTTCGTTTCAGGAAATCAAATGCAATTTACGTTTGTTATCTCGTGAAAACTTGAAAACTTATCATATTTCACGTTATCGAAATATTAGTACAATAATCAATGAACGATACAGTATTCAAATTCAAAGACTGCTAGATAAATAGGAAATATTCTAAGAAAAAATATTTTAATTGACATCGCATCTTTTCCGACTATATCTTTACCGATATTCCATACATCTATAATCATTTATTTCTATGTTCAACGTTGTTCATCTGTAGTGACCAATGTATTCACATGAGGTTGAGTGACTTCATTGTTCTTGTAACAGGTTTCTTCTTTTTTGTTTATCTGCATTTGTTCCATCGCTGTTTGCTGTCTTCCTCGAAGACTTCGCAACATGTAGCAACGTCGATGAGGACTATGTCTACTATAGAAACTGTCATATCCACCACTACTAGTAGTGGCCGTTCGTCGAAGGGCCAAAACTGCGTGATGACCATTGATCGGTAGTCCACATCCACATCCGGATAACATCCTCTGGTTGCGAAGCAACCCTCGCCTCATGGTACTATTAGCACTACATCCTGCGCATACATCATCGATCACGGCAGTTCCTTGAGCACTCTGTAATGAGATATGAGAATCGCTGGAAATGTAGAATGTCGAACACTTTTTAAGGGGATTTTCCTATTTAGAGCTTAAATAATTTATTGAATAAAAGCCTACGGTATGATGTCACCTTGTAAACTGAAGTAAAAAAAAATTTTTTTTTAACGAAATGACAACGTATGAAACAAAAATTTATGAAATGTATAACTTCTTCAGACAACAAAAAGAAGATATTAATATAGTTTTAGTTCACAAGATAATCACTTTTATATAGAATAAATTCAGTTTTTCATTTTTTTCTTTCCAATGAATACAGCAATATAAATCATAGTAACTATTAAAGATAAAACAATGCAGAAAATATAATTTGAATAATAATAAAAAGAACATTGTACAAAAATTATCATAATATATTATCTTGAAACATGGTCAAACAAGTATTTACAAGAATGTATTTGTTCCACGTAACGAATAGGGATGGGCTACTTAAAGCGTCGAAATCTAGAAATCTGTCAAAACCCAAAAAGATTTCGAATTTCGAGAATTCAAAATTTTGTACTTTTTTCATGATTCGAAACTCTCGAAATTCAGATAAGTAAAAATATAAAATCAATGAATAAAGAATAGTTTATATAATAGTGTAAATAAAGAATATTTGATTTATGTGTATTTCAAATATTTGGTGCAAAATACTTCGCAAACGCTTGGTTTTTGTTTTTAAAGATATAAAGAGATAGTTAAGGATATAAGTGATCGTTTCTGGAATGGTAATGTAAAATGTTTTATCGCCAAATCAAAAAAATATCTTATTATATTACTATCAACAATACACTTTGAAAGACTTTCAGTATATTCAGCCCTATAGTCGATAAAAAAAGAAATGAATTAGATCTAGAAAGAATCAGAATGTTAATGTTTTTTTACAAGAATCTGGGCTAGATATTTTTGTATGTTGTTACGTTTTTTTTTTATACTTTAATTGTGACCAATAAAAATTTATAAAAAAATGTTTAAATCAAGAAATTATTGTACAAAATAAAACTAGTGTTTCAAATCTTTAATGTTTTGAAACCTTGCAAAATTTCGGATTTGAATTTCGAAAAAATTTAAAAATTGATTTCGAACTCATCTTTAGTTTTTTTTTTTAACGCGGAAAAGTCCATCAGTACTAAAAAGATTTATTTCACATATTTTTACAGAAAAATGAATGAGGATACGTTAGTACGTACGTTAGTAAGTATTCTTTGTAAGCACTTTGCCGAGTTAAGCTGTTGTTAAGAGTACCAATAATGTAAGAGAAGAAAAAGAACCTCGTAAAATGAGATCGCGTAAATTGAAGCTGGATATAAAAAGTTCGTGTAAACAGAGGGAGTATTTATCGCGTAAAGAAAGTGCGACGTAGATCGAGGATGTAAATTTTAAAATACTTGATCTATAATAACCTAACAATTTTCTATCCAATAAATCGTTTAAAAATTGGTGACTTTAAATGAGAATAAATTTGCTTTCATTTTTAAACTATTCTTTTCTTACACATTGTTGTTTTTTCTCATTAATACTCATCAATAGTCGATATTAATTATACAGAATTTCTAATTCTCATTCTAAAGAATTTATCATGAATAAAATGAAATAATATTGACATCGAAGAAAATATTAAATATTTTTTCCTGTCTTAAATGAGATTTGAGAATTATAATAATAGTTAAGAATAATATCAACAAGATATGGATAAGATCCAATCAAATTATTAATGAAATATTATATTTATATTAAGTCCTGTGTAATAAAAAATTAGTAAATTCATTTAAAATTTCATACTTTATAAACATAGCGCGGTTATTTGGAAAATAATGAACCCATGGTATTTGTCACAATGAATATAAAGACAATAGAATTTTCATCAAAATTGAAATTATGTATATATATATATACGTATGCACGTGTACTCGACTGATTTTCAAATGTATTTTTCTTGAAAACGAAATCCCCGAACGTAATTTTTTCATTTTTGATTTTCGTCTCATTTTGAGCGATAGAATTGTTCTGATCTAATTTGTACTATGACTTCTAGGGCTTCTATGACTTCTATATTATTTAATTTTTTTTTTCTTTTGAAACAAATATATTAGTTAAATGTCATATACAAGTATCAAGAAGTAAGCAATAATTTTATATGTATGAGTTAGAGTTTCCGACATTGAACAATGTACATCAGATTGATGTTTGCTTTTTTTTTAAACAAAGAATACGATTTTAGTAGTGTATGGAAGTCTGCCAATTTGCTCGTCATAAATAGCGTAGATAAATGCTTACACAAGATACGTCACACCTCAGCTATAATTTTACGATGTTAGGCCAGGGCCATACGAGCGTTGAAACGATGTGCGTTGCGATGTATGACATTCCGAATGCACGCATGTAGGTGAATACACTAAGTTGCTGCCTCTGCATTAGTTGGCTGAGGGTACTAAGAGTATGAATGCGTGTGATGTAGCATTTTCATATATGACGCATTTAAAAATCAGACGAAAGAGAAAATACGAACAATATATATATATATATATAAATGTGAGCACTACTTTATAAACAACTGTATGAAAACCATGAGATGATCCAATTATTTCCGAATATCCGTTTAATGAATTATTTTCGTTTGTGAGAGATTGTATAAAACACCAAAATATAAATATCAATATCGGTCATAACAGAAGTAGTTTCCGATTATAGTAAAATAATTTTTATTAAATTACTATATAATTATATGTGGTAAATTATCAATATAATCAGATCGACCTCGTGCAACCGTGACAAAAAAGTCTTCTTTTGCTTCGCTAGCAAAAAAAAGAAGTACTGAAAACGACGACTACAATATGTTGCGTGTTCTGTTCATAATTGTAGAACATACGTTAATATCCTGTCGTAATATAAAATATTGAGAAAAAAATCAACGTCGTAACGCATGTTGAAAGTAATGCACGT